AAAGAGGGAGGAAATGTTTGTGCCCTCAGGTCTCACAGCTCATCCATCACTGTGAGGATGAAAAGTTTCTGGTCCACTCCAAGGTTATTGCTGTGATTCCTTGGTAGATCACAGGCACTTCTTGCCTGTCCCTCTGCAGAAGTGCTGATGTTTATCCAAGGTTTGCCTTCAGGCAGTGTTTGACCTGCACAAGTGCTTAAAGGTGAAACCAGCCCCCTGAAAGAATGTCAGGATTTTTTTATTATGATGATATTTGGATACTAATATTCTGTTATTCTAAATATTCTGTGTTACTACAGTCACATGCTAGAAGAAAACAAAACATGCTTTTTTATTCTTCTTTGTCAAGAACTTGGGATATAATTTCACCATATTTTCTTCCAGTGTCCTTGCTCATTTTTCTGTCTGCTACATAAACAATCCACACCACAGGGGAGGTGGGAATGAAAGCTTCAGAGTTGGTGTTTGAAGAAAATCCGATTCCTGCCACTAAGACCTTGCTAAGAGTCTGCTTAAAATTTATGCTCTCCATAAATAAGTGATTTCATGGCCTTGTATTTCTAACTGGTGCTAAGTGAAGGCCCTGGTGTATGTTCTTCCCTAGTTTTACAAAGCACTTTTCTATGGATCTTGTCGAAGTGGGATTGAAGGCTGAAGCTCTCAGTTTTTGTCTTTGTGTGTGAGGAATGGCAAAGGCAAATAATAGTTTTCTTTTTGTCAGATTAAGTAATTGAAAACCTTCCAGCTGCTATAGTAATAGCAACACATCTGCCAGATGTCAAGGAGCGTATTTTAATCCTTCTATTTTAAGTTTCAAGCAAAGTCCATGTAGGTGTGGCTACCTTAAAGCTGCCTCAGCCCAGAGCTACTTGGGTAGCCTAGGAGAGAACTGTGTAGAATTGTTCTTGGAGGGACTGTTGATTAAATTTATAGAAACAGCTTTTCCCAGATGTTCTTGTGGGGCAGGAGCCCATCCTGAAGATCTGTATTTCTCTCAGACACTTTTATGATGTCCTATTGGGTATACGGCGTGTGCTCTCCTGTGTGTGAGGTTGATTTGAGGTACCGGGACGTTTTTCTTGGAAGGTGTAAGAGCCAGAAAACAAGTTAAATGAGAAAGTTTTGGAGACTGGGCTTGGTGCCTAATCTCAATTCCGTGTGGCTGTGCCGGTCCGTGTGACCAGGACGTGTCCCAGGGAGTGGGAGTGCGATGTCCACAGAACTGTCCTGTCCCCTATTGACACTGTAAATGAGTTTAGGCTGAAGTGACAGATGTGGGGTGGAAGAGACTGTTTTTCTAGTTAAACATTTTAAACTGTCAGAGAAGGTGAAAAATGCATTGTACTGCTTCCTGTGGCCTTTTCCTCCAAAGAGTCTGTCATGCAAGAAAGGGAGGGGAAAAAAAATCAAGCCCTTTGCTTTTCCATGTTCGTTTGTTTTTATTGTAAGATAAACCTTTCATGTTTTATTGTTATGAAGTTAAAGCCTGGCCTAGAGGTGCTGGTCTTTAGGAGGAGCAGCTGGAGTGTCCCCTGGTCAGGTGGGAGGCCCTTTGAAGCAACATGTTGCCTCTTTAAAAGGTAATTGAGCATGTGAGAACTTAAACCTGTAAAACTCATCCACAGCTCGGCCTTTGTTTATCTCTGGTGTAACTTTATTTAGAATTAAAGTGAAATGCATTACTTTGCTCCTGAGGCAAGATGGTTTTGCTCCCCCGTGGTCCTGGAGACACAGGAAATGACCACATAACCACAAATACTTTCTAGTGGAATGAAGATGAGTGACAAACTATCTGCAGAAAGAGGTTCTTAACCAGATGGGCTAAGGAATTCAATGTAGCTGAAGGGTCTGAGTTTAAGTTAAAACTAATTTTTAAATGTTAAAACCAAGTAGAAGAGAGCAAATGCTGTATGTGCACTGGTTGATGTGAGGGGGCAAATTTGGTGTTTATTGTTGGCAGGGCATGGTGATCAGAACAGTTTCCTGCACAGTGTCCTACTGTGCCTCAGTAGGAGAGGAGTGAACTCAACTACCTTTGAGATGAGGAAAGCTAAGGTACATTTTTTTTTGCTCTGTTTCTCAAGTTGCCTTCTTGTACAGAAAACAAAAACCCACTAGCTGTCAGATTTCCTTCACTTCTCTGTAGCATTTTCATTATTTAAAGCAAGGCCTTAGCTATCTTACCATCATCTTTTTGTACTAATTGTCACTGTGCTTCCCTTCCCACTGGAACAGGGTGCAGTCATGGCCTCTAAAATTGCACAAAAATTGCGTTTTCATGAAAAAGAACATTCCCTTCAAATTAGCTGCTTCAGAAAAAAGCTTTCTTAGGAAAAACAGAGTGTTCTAAAGTCAGTCATGCTGGACCACATCTGCTTAACAGTGGTGTTGGCGTGGGGCAAGGCCTAGTTTTTGTTCTGGGCTTAGGCTGAATTGCAGTTGACAGAAATAAATTTTTCACCTTTTAAGCATATCTTGTAGCTTCCCCCATGGCCAACAGGAAGCAGCATTGATGGCATCTGTGTGGAGCCCTCACTGAGGGCTTGTAATGTGAGAGAGCATCTGAAGGAGGTGAAGAGAAAATGAGATAATGAATGATTTCTGGAAGTAGATGGAAAGAAACTGTGTTAATTACTGTTGCTTCCTTAGTGCAGGGTTGTCTTGAGACAAAAATGTGAACAGTTCACCATGAGGCTAGTGAGAAGAATTTGGGGTTGACTGGTGTAAAATGTGGTGACATTAGAAACTGCCCAGGCTGTGCATGCAGATGATGCAGGATTTGTCATCCCGTGCATAAATTCTCATCCATTGGCTCAACTGTTTGGATCGGCAGAGGGGATCTTCCCAGGGACAGGAAGCCTAGGACTGGCATCTCTCCCTCGGGGCAACCCTGCTGAACTGGGGCAGCTCAAACACCTGGTGCTGACTGAGCAGAAAGAATTCCCTCCAGAAAGTCCTTCTCAGCCCTAAAGTACAACAGCCCAAACCAAACCGGCAGTACGACCTGGATTGTAGGAACAGGCTGGCAGAGGAGGTGGTCGGAGGACCAAGCACGTGTCCCTTGAATGGATTCTAGGAGATAGTAATTATCCTTAATGGCATAAACACTCTGGGAGAGCCAGCACCAGTGGGCTGTAGCAAAGGTACCGAAGGAAGGCTGTGCTGGAGAGGGAGAATCAGCATGGGGAACCACGGCTCCAGGAATGCCTGATGTCTCTGCCAGGCTCTGTACGAACCCCGGGCAGTGAGACGCGTTTGTGGGAGGTGCTCCAAGGAGTGAATCTCTTACTGTCTGAAATGCAGGAAAACCCTGGAGCTCTGAGCAGACATCCGAGGCTCCGAGACTTTCCCTTAGCTGTGCAAATGATTAGAGTGAGAACCTGACCTTGTGCAAAGTGCTTGGGCTCGAAAATGTCTGGGGGAGTTATGTCAGGAGCACTTGGCGGGCAGTCAGAGCTCTTCGTGCACTGCATGTTTTGTGAGGCTACCCGGAAGCTGGAATGACCTGGTAAAGCAGTTACCTCTGGCACAACTGAAATCTGGAGTAAAATGAAGAGATTTCAAATCAACTCTCATTTCCAGCTCTCAGTAAGTACAGATAGTAAAGCACTAATGAGAGTGCACATAAGGAGGTTTATTCCGATCGTGTTTGGTCACCTCTGTTCTAATATTCAAGGTTTCATAATCAATAAAAAACGTGGAATGCTTAGTTAATGTACTACGTGGTGCGTCCTAATGTACAATGATGTATTAAGTATTGTTTGAGTAAACTGTTCCCCAGTAGAAACTACCATTAATATACTTTTTGCAAGGAGAAAGGTTTGAAGAGCAAAAGAAAACTTAAAAGAAAGAAACCTCATCCTATATGCCAAGAGGGTACAGGATTTCTTGGCATTTTTCTGGACTCAAGTAATGTGTCCAACAGGATCTTAAGTAAGGATCACATGCTTTTAGGAATATAAAAAAAGGGATGTATTTTAATTAATAACCTTAAATTACATTTCTTGTATTGCAAGGAGAGAATTGAAACCCATAACAGGATGTGTTTGCTGCAAAATAAACCTGAAACTGTTGATTATTTTTTTTAACAAGCATATGCATGACTGATGTTTTTTTTCCTTTTTTAAACTTCTGTATTTCCATGCCTTATCTAAAATTCTTGTCTTTAGTGCATAAAATTAAAGGTAGAATTTGCCCACTCAGCTGCAGGTTTTCACTGTTACATTTATTTGGTCTTGAGAGGAGTTTTGCAGACTTGCCTGACTTCTTGCAGAAAATCCTAAGCTCACCTTCCAAGGAAAGCAAAAATTATTTTTAAATATACTGACTGTTTTAATGGCTCTGGATACATTTTTTTTTTCAACTGCTGCACTTATTTCTATATATAGTATTAAGGATGTGAAAAGTCATTCATTCCTAATGTGTTTAAATATGCTCCATAATGAATGTTGTGGATGTGAAAGATAAGCAGCCTGGAGCTTTCTTTGTAAGGGATAGAATAACACAAAGCTTTAAAGTTCTGCTGCCCTCAGGACACACATTGAAGCAGTTAAAGTAGTGAGATAAACGAAATACACTGAGATATTCATCTGCAAAATCTAAAGCTCAAGGACACAATAAGTTTTCATTAAAGTGTTTCTCATTTGCTGACAATGAACCAAATAAATCTTAATTCCATGTTGTAGATGGTGACCGAAATTTAGGAACTTTCCCTGGGATGAGAGTCTGGTTTGTTTCCCAAATCTTTCTGATAATGTACTTATTGTGTATGTTGGGATTCTAATCTGAATCAGCTGCTTACAGTTACTTAAAAAACAAGAACTGGTTTTTTTCAGAATTGCTATTTAAGAACAGTTTGGTGTGCTGAAATTACACGTAGTCAGATATTCATAGTCTGATACTCCTGAGTTGGAACAAAGAATTGCTGTAAAGAATGAAATAATTTTCCATTACTCTGTATTATATTAATCCTCACTCACTGACTGCATTTCTTGTTGCAGGTGCTGGATTTGGATTAGGAATTGTTTTCTCAGTCATTTTCTTCAAAAGTAAGTACTGCAGTGATCCTGATGCCTGGTTTCCCAGTTTCCATCTGTTGTAGGCATATTTTAAAACCAAGAAGTCTTAGAGGTGTATAAAATTCAATCAGCATGCTAGACCAATTCCTCTATTATTTGCCCTGTCTTTTCTGTTGAAATGGAGTTCCCCAAACTTTCAGCTGTTGTGTAACAAGGTTGTTACCCGTGGCACCTCTCCGAACTCCTCCTGTGCTCAGCTCAAATCCTGGAATTGCAGGAGACCCTGAGCCAAATCGCCGGAGCCATGTGTCTAGACATCAGTTTATGCCAGTCTTTCCAGGGGTTTAAAACTGATCTTAGTTCTTTAGTTCTGCTTTGGTAACAGAATGATTTTCAGTAATACATTGGATTCAGAGTTTGCTCTCTGTTAAATTCCAGATGTGATGTCTTACGGATACTCTTCTTCTTCTCCAGTGCCCTGGTTTGTAGCTGATTCTTGACTCGTAGAACAAAAGTGCATAATATGCATCTTCTAGCAACTTAGTCTTTCTTGGTGCTTGTATAACAATATATAACAAACAGCTTTCCTTGACTTTGATTTGCCCTCTCTGCTTGCCCTCTCTATTCTCTCCCACAGGAAAGACATGGCCTATTGCTTTTGGGTCAGGGATGGGGTTAGGAATGGCTTATTCCAATTGTCAACACGACTTCCAGTCTCCATATCTTCTCCATGGTAAATTTGTAAAAGTAAGTACCAGTGCTGGTTTGTGTTGGTTGGTAATTATTTGTAAGGTAGACAGCATTTACAAGGATATTCCTCTGCCTTTCCCAAAGGAGTACTAGTAAGAAGAAACTCATGTTGCCAGAGCAGGAGTGGTTCCCCTGCTCTTCAGAAATTTTTAATAACCGGTGTGTTTAAGCATAACCTTAATTAGACTGAATACATGGAATTAGTTTAACAGATCCTGCAGGTGGGTTTTGCCACAACCTGAAAATCTTATAATAAAAATACGTGTCAGAAAAACTAAACTAATAGTAAGATTCTTCAGACTTCAGAGATGAACTGGGAAGAAACTTAAAGGCATGTCAGGTAGATTTGTCTGTGGAAGCAGATCTTTGATCTCCAGTGGGGTTTTTGCGGTTTTTTCAACATGAAAACACTGATCACTTGTAAGTTTTGTGGCTTGTTTGGCTGGATTGTAGTGTAGTAACTAGTCTGAAAAAACCCGTACACTTTAAACAGTTTTGAAGATCATTTCAATGAACTCAGTCTTATCACTGACCATGCTGAGATAAAATATTTTAAAATAGATTAATTAGCAGGATCCATTTCTGAACTCACAAACTGGCTGCAGTGCACCAAGTCCACAAACTGACTCCATTAATATTTTTTTAATTTCTTCACATGTAAAAGTTGGGGCTGTTCTCATGGTAATTTATTATTGTAGTATCTGGAACACAAAAAAGGTGTGTGTGCACATTTTGGATCCATGAAACCATGGACTGCTTAAAGCATCTCAGTGATACCAGTGGAGAGGCATCCACCAGGATATATTTGTAGTTACTTTAGCACTTCAGAAAGTACTGAGGTAAAATGTTCTGCCAGAAGCTTTTCATGGAGCACACAGAGTGAAAAAATTGCTCCCATATTATTCCTCTGCCTGATGACGAGGCCTGAAGGTGTTTTTAGGCATTTCCTGATGCATCTAGAGCTGTAAGTGGAGCCCGGTCCTCCTTGAATTTACTGGCAGATGAGCTTTTGCCAGCCTTCTGCAGCCCTACCAGACAAACCTGCTTACAAATGTTTCCTCCAGCTGCCTGTTAAAGGGAAACAATAGCAAGATTCTCGAACAACTTCCTGGGAATAAAATATTTTGGAGAGCAATGTAGAGAAACTGTGACTTGGATGCAGCTGATTAGCACTGCCAGCTACTGCCCAGAATGAAAAATCTGTGCATGATTCTTTTGGCCAGATTTGTTAACATTAGGACGTGTTAGCTTTCCACATCATCCTGAGGGTATTCCTCCAATTTATGTCTCCAGAAAGAAGCTGGAATGGCCTGTCTATGGCTTCACGAGTGATAGATGCCCTGTTCACATGTTCTGAGAGAGCATTATTCATTCAAGGATACTCCTTACTAGGGATGTTGGGCAGCAGAAAATTGAGTGTCAGGTCAGCCTAGTAAGGGATTTTGTTGGGATTAAGGACAAATCTGTGTTCTGGAGCAAGGGTGATCCTTGGAAGCATGAAATAACTGAAAGGACACTTCCCAGAAGACACCCAGCTGCCTGCATGGCACAAGACTAGACACGTAGTTTCCAGTACACTGTCTTTGGCACAAAGAGCTTGAGGCTGCTGAGAGAGGGAAAACGTGGATGAAGCCATGTAATGGTTAATGTCATTAATTCCCTCCGAAATGTTGTGTCATGGATAATGGCTCTAGGGTTATTACAACCAGATTATTTCATTTCTCTTGGTTAGGAACATGGAAAACATTGTTGCATTATCACTCATCTGGTTTTTTTCTAGAAAATTTGTTATAACTAAACTCTGTAGGACTTCCTTACACAACTGAGTTCTGTTCAAATGTTAACCTGTCAAATCGAGAGATTCTGCAAGAAAATCAGCTTTATTAGAGAGAAATGTAACACGGATTAACTTGGACAAAATTATTTCTAGTTTTCTGTTCACAGAATCACAGGATAACTTGAGTTGGAAAGGACTTCAAGGAGGTCATGGGGGTCAGCTGTGAGGTTATTCAGGGTTTTATCCAGTTGGGATTCTTGATTCTTCAGGATCAAATTCTTAAAAGAACAGAGAACATTCACAATACCGAATAATCAGGAGATGACAAAGTGATGTTGCAGCTGTTCTGGCTGTAACTTGGACCATCACACTGCCCATCCTTTGGGTTAGAAATTTGATCATAAAACACTATAATGCCAATGCAGGAGCCATTCATCCAGACCAAGAGACTATTTAAAATGCAGAAAAGTTCTAATTTGTGGTCATAAGATTCTGAGAGCCTTTTAAGTAATTTGATCAAATGGATTTCACTGTGACTTCAGCTGAATTTAAAGCCAACATCTAGCAATTATTTCATGGCTATGACTGTGAACTACACGGCCCAGATTCCTTGCAAAGTGGAAAAGATGATATTTTTCAGGTTATTTAGCCTATATTATCACCCAAACCCCGTAACCCTGTACTGTGCTAGCAGTGTGGATTATACTGATGTGCAGGAATACAAGAAGGCAACTTCAGCCTTCCCACCTGCCTTTTGTGGCTTTTATTTCTGTCTGATTTCTCTTCAGCCTGTGAACAGTTAACCTGAACAATAATGTTGGGGTTTTTTGAAGTACCCAATTTATCAGAATGGAGGGTTATGCATGAAAATAGCTGCTTCGTTTCTCCATACACAACTTCCTGCTCTAGCAAAGGATAAAAATGTTCCTGTACCCCTTGGAAATGTCACAAAGGTCCATGACTTGCTTTACATCCTACAGCACCTTCAATGTAAGGAACCCAAATGGCTTTTTAATAATATAAACCTTCTTGCTTTACAGGAACAGTGACTAATGGCTGAGACTATCCCAGTGGGAAGGAAGGAGAAGTCAATGATTATTCCTCAGGAATACTGAAGTGCCCCTGGAATAAGCCAACATTCTTCAGTAACGATCACCAGTAACTCTTTATACTCCAACAAACTGTTTCTGTATATGAAACAAAGTTCTGTTGCTTGTTTTGTATAGTGTCTGAAAAGTGCAAGGGAGAGCTCTTCTGGGAAATAAATAAAGGAGAAATGGCCTTCTCTAGTGTGTTGACTTTGTCTGTGAGTGAGAGAGAGAGAGAATGGAAGGAGAGAACTTCATCTGAAGTGCCCAGCATCTGGGGCCACCTGGGCCAAAGCCACTGGGAGAGCTCTTCAGCAAAGAGCCCCATCGTCTGTTCCTCCCCACTCCCAAGAGCCAGCCCCCATCTGACAGCCAGTTCAAAGAAGCATTCCCACCTCATAAATCATCCACTAGACCCCTGCTGCCTGTGCCAGTGTGTGGAGAGGAATATAAATACTCCTATGTCCTGTTTGTACAGTTGCCCTTTAAAATTGGAGTTTTGTCGTCTCAGAAGAGGTGGAATCCGAAGTGATAAATCCAAACTGTTTGATCCAGGAAGCCGGTGCTGTCTCTTGTAGCTTTGGGTCATGGAGCAACCCAGGTTTGAAACTTCCTGAGATAGTGGGTGAATTAAGCAGCTGCTAATGCTGTCTGGCTCTCAGATTGCCTGTGAGGCTGATTGTTCTCCCACTGAAGAGGGGGGAAAAAACAGAGAGGTTTCAGTGTCTGGGAGTGGGTCACAAGTATTTAAAACTCTTTATTACCTTGACAAGTCACTGGTCCAAGTGCTTCACTTCTATTTTACATTTACCCCAGTCCTCATGATGACTTGTTGGCATGTTGTCTGGTGTTCTCCTGACTCAGGAGGTTGTCTTTGCTGCTTCTTTACTGAGCACAGTTTTCTAGCTATGAAAATGGCTCTCCAGGACCTCATTTCTTTGTCCCACACTTGCTGCATGTTCATATAGCACACGGAATAAATGCATGTCTCCCAAGATAGAAAGGGAATGGGATAGACTGATATGGAACTTGGCTTTATTGAAAGCCTGTTCTGCTTCACAGTGAGTGCTGATAGATGGAAAAGTGACGAGTACACAAAGGAAAACATGTTGTGCAATATTTGTTTTTTAAACTACGGCAAAAAAGGACGGGGATGAACTGAGGGGCAGTTGAGAGGGCTTGAGGAACTCCTTATCTTACTGAGTTTTGCTCTGGGTGCTGCAGCAAGTCCTGCATTCCCACCTCTCCTGAGCGCTGCTGTGTGGATCCTGCAAACTGGAGAAACATGCTGAGCTGTGCCCAGAGTCAACAGACACTGAGGAGCTCGCCCGGAGCAAAGGACTTGTGAAATAGATTCACTGCAGTGCCAGAGCAGCATTAGGACTGTCAGAGCATGATACCATCCAGGACCATTGCTCCAGCATGTCCTTGTTTTTCCACCTCCTCCCTTGCTGGACTGCATTCATCAGTCAGGGCAAAACAGCCCATTGAAAACAGGATATCTTTTCTTTCTTGCTGCTTTTGAATCATTTTATCCAGCCCCAATTTTTAATTTGAACTATGTACTTTGGAGCCATAGCTCCTCTGTGGTTTGGAAAGGGCTTTTATGGAGTTCTCTGTGTGTATGCTGCAATCTGGGAAGCCAGTGGGATCCACTGGAGAGAAGAGCAGCAGCCTGGGCAAGAACCAGGAGAACCAAAAGCAGTGGCAACTGAATATAACGACTGTCAACATGCAGGAAAAGCTTCAGCTCATGCTGTGTCATTTGGGCTGCAATGATGAGTTCAGTTTTTATTTAGTGTCCCTGGTAACGAGTTGTCCTGCCCTCACATGCTCTGCTTCAGCTCAAACAGGACTTCCCAGAGTTAATTCTTACTTTGACCTCCTGTGGCCTGTGACAAAGAGGTTCTTCTGGCCCTGGAACTCAGAGAAATCAATTGTAGATACTGATTCCTTTACACGTCCTTTATTGCCAGAGTGAGAATAATCAGAATAAATGTTCTTACTCATCAATGTGAGGTCAACAAGAGTGAGCGTGGAAAAATTGCACAATTTTAGAAGTGGAAATTTAATTTGTCATTGCTTCTTAAATGGGGTAAAACTTAATTTTTTGGGTTTTTTCATAGCTGCCTTGCTTGTTGTCGTCTGTGTTGATGTATGTATATATATATGTATATGCACATATAACTACCACATAAAGGGTCTGTATTTGTTTTGCTTTATTTAATTAGAGATATATTATTCCAAGCCTATTTTTGAACCTGTCCATGTAAGCTGTGCAAAATATCTTGTGAGGACAAGTCTCCTGTTTCCCTCTGTGGGAATGAGACCATACCATTCCCAACTGAGGTTGGAATAGGAACAGTTTCCTGCTGCTTGATTTCTAATTACATAAATGGAAGGGGGGCAAAGTGGAAATTCTAAGTACCAAAAGGCATGTTAAATTTAGTATAATACACTCATCTGGAAACTATCACATTTTTCCTTCTTTCTTAAGCCTGCTGAAATCATTGCGTCGTCTGTGGCGTGATTTGGATTGGTCCCAGAAAGTGCAAACAAGATAGGCCTAAAAAAGGCAGGTGTCCCTACCCAGACTTAATGAGACCTTTTAGTAGAGAAGTTGTATCACGATTTTAATAGGAAAATGGTGAGTATGCAGTGAGTAAGGAAAAAAAAAGCTGTTTGCTGACAAGAACTGGTTTTGAACGTTTAACAACTCCCCAAGTGCTCGACTGACCACAAATCTGCCTCTTTAACAGCTTGATTAGATGTCTGCTGAGGCTTTGAGATGAATAAACAAGTCACGGAAAGCAGAGACAGCGGGGAAAAAAATATCAAGCTGCTTTTCTCTTGTTTATCCGAGTTGCTCATGTTTGATCAAGATACCGTCATTGCTTTGTGTTCCAGTCCTGCCTGGAGCTGGGGCCAAGAGCAGGACCCGGCTGTATGTGGTGCTGTACACACAAATAAAAACCAGCCTCTGCCCTGGAGAACTTACAAACTAAACAGATGGGCTGGAGGGAGGTGGGAGGGTTTGTAATTCCCATTTTAAAGATGGGAGACGCTGTAGGCAAGGTCAGGGATAACTCGGGGAGGGAATGTGGCATGGAGCCGGGACTCAGATTTAAGTCTGGAGCCATTGACTCCATCAGCCCTTCATTTCTGACTGGTTTTTCACTTGGCAGGTGAGGGAGTCTCGAGGGAAGGCTGCCCACTTGCCCAGAAGAGTATGTTCTGCCACCCTTTGCTATCCTCAAATTGCCCCAAATTCTCAGGGGCTAATCTCTGTTAATTTAGGAATTCCATTTTAATGTCCAGGGGGTGATTGCTTCTGGAATCACTAATAGGTGTAAACCACTGGGATTTTCAATATTGACTTTGTTGTAAATCTGAATCTGATAAGGAGAGAAAACATTGAAACTTATTCCCAATTCTTTATATCTCCGTAGTAAATCTACTTTAAATGTGAATTTAGGTAACAGATCAAGGAAGAGGGAAGGTATCAAGGGGGCAGCAGCATTCCAGTACTGTGGAATCCCAGACCGGTTTGGGTTGGAAAGGACCTTAAAGCTCATCCAGTGCCACCCCCTGCCATGGGCAGGGACACCTTCCACCAGCCCAGGTTGCTCCAAGCCCCATCCAACCTGGCCTTGGACACTTCCAGGGCTGGGGCAGCCACAGGTTCTCTGGGCAACCTGTGCCAGGGCCTCACCACCCTCACAGGGCAGAATTTATCCCTAATATCCAGTCTATCCAATCTCTGTCAGTTTGAATCCATTCCCCCTTGTCCTGTCACTACATGCTCTTCTAAATAGTCTCTCTCCAGTAGTGGAAGCACAGCAGTGATGGTGTAACTCAGCTCTTCCAGAGAGTTCACATGGATGGTTCTCCAAAGGAGAAGAAATTGGTTTCCCAGATATTTGTACTGGGTTCCCTCTGAGTTTTTGGAGCAATGCAGAACAAAGCACAAAGGTTCTGGTTTGCAAATGCAAATACTGTGCGCGCACAGGTGGACTAAAGGTGACTGGTTGTCGTAGTGACCAACCATGAGGTACAGCTGATGCTGTAGCTGGAAGGGGGAAGCTCATGGTGGAGCTGGGGAACCCATGATCCGTGACCTGCTGGGAAAACCCCATTTTTCAGCAGCAATCTGAACTGCTGAATGGCTGAGTTTTGTTACTTTCCATCACCACCACACAGATCCCACAGCAAGAAATAAACTTTCTCCTTGTCTCCCACCCCATTCCTGCCTTTGGAAATGGGACTGGTGCAGATTTTGGCACGCCAGCCCATGTAGGCAGCTGTGTCTGTACTGCTCCAAGAGTCCAGCCTATAGCCCACCCACAGAGAAATGCTTAACTGAGATTGAAACTAAATGGGAACATAGTTTATGGAAATTCAGCTGTAAGATCGCTGTTCTCTTGTGACTTCTGGCTGTCAGCGCTTTGCTGTACAGCACCGCAGGCTGTTGGGGCTGGATGTTCCTCGTGGTGCTGGATACCCACCTCCTGGAGCTTGTAAAGATGCTGAGAAAGTTGTTGGTGACCAATAAATCACTCTTCATCTCTAGTCTTTATTGGTAGCGCTTGTAAAGCCTCCAGCTCTGCGTTGAGTGGATGCCCCTTTCCAGAAAAAGGTCATGCCCCTGATCAGTTCAAATTCCGTTCATAAATCATATGAAAGAGTGTGTTTCTTTTTAGAGGTTTTAGAGGATATTCTTCCTCCTTCTCGATGTTGCACTTGAAGTTGTTAGTAGTGATAAACAGCTTAACCCAAAGCCATTACTACTCCCTGAGGATTTGGGTTGAAGGAGGCCACCAAACTGATTAGAGGGTTGGAGCACATCTGCTGTGAGGAAAGGCTGAGAGAATTGGGATTGTTCAGCCTAGAGAAGAGAAGGCTCCGGGGTGACCTAATTGCCCCTTCCAGTATCTGAACGGAGCTATGAGAAAGATGGAGAGGGACTATTTACAAGGGCCTGGAGTGCCAGGAAAAGGGGGAAGGGCTTCAAACTGACAGAGAGTAGGTTTAGGTTCAATATTAGGAAGAAATTCTTCCCTGTGAGGGTGGGGAGGCCCTGGCACAGGTTGCCCAGAGCAGCGGTGGCTGGCCCATCCCTGGAAGTGTCCAAGGCCAGGTTGGGTGGGTACTGGAGGGTGTTCCTGCCCATGGCAGGGGTTGGGAACTGGATGATTTTG